TTGGGTTGAGATGGGAAGTTAGTGTCCGAGTCGATCGAAGTCGCGATAGCTCAAGTGGTCGGCGTATTTAGCCGAAGGTCGTGGGTTCGAATCCCACACGGGGCACTAGCTTTTTCATTTAAACCAAAACCATACATAAAAAGATTAATTAATTATTATCAGTGTTCATATGGAAGGGGACAAGCTTCGAAAAGCACAAAATTACATATGGAAGAATATATATATAACAATACCTATATACATGGTCGTTCATAAACTTAATTTAATAGTCATAAAAATATAATTATCTAATAAGATAAAAGTTTCTTTTATATATTCTCAGATGTTAAAAGTTAAAAGGGAGTTGGTGTCCGAATGGATCGAAGACACGATAGCTCAAGTGATAGAGCAGCGGCGTATAGCCGAAAGTCGTGGGTTCGAATCCCGCTCGGGACACTGCCTTTTTCATTTCAACCAAAACCTTGCATGAAGACTAATTAATTGAAAGATGTTATTTGGTCAATCGGACCATGAAATCTAATAAATGGAACTATCAAAAATGTGAGAAAAAGTAATAGGGATCCCATTTGAAAAAACGATTGGTTGGTTTTTTTCTGCAATATTTAAAGTGTGTTTAATTAATTAAAGGGGGTATTCTGAGCCCAGTATTGTACTCGATATATGCAGCAGACCTGGATCAGTAGTCACAGACGGAGTAAAAATCATCCAATATGCGGATGATGTCTGTTTATATTCTATAGAAAACACCACAGAAAAATGCAAGTCATCGTTAAATGTAGTTATGCATAGCTTATCAAAATGGATGGATGCAAATGGTCTGGAGATATCTGAAGAAAAGTCCCTGCTTTGCCCTTTTTCGAATAAGCGCCAAGTCAATCGCGCAACCGTAGAAAAATGAGGAAATTACCAATTCCCAGTAAAATATAATGCCAAGTTTCTGGGTCTTCATTTGGATAGGAAGCTGTCGTGGAATACTCATATAAAACATTAACAAACAAGAGCAGAAAAATTATACAACATACTAAAATGTTTTTGCAGTAGCAAATGGGGTGCCGACCCGTTCATAGGCATGTTATATTATAAACCATCCATTAGAGCAGTGATCGATTTTGGATCAATTTTTTATGGACAGGCCTCACACTCGTTCTTGAAAAAAATGCGTAATGCTTGCTTAAGACGCATCCATGGTGGGTTGCCAAGTACTCCGATCGTGGCTTTGTCGGCTGAATCTTGTGAGCCCCCATTGGAAATAAGGCGATTAAAATTGGCACTGAATTTCCTCACTAAACTACTCAGTCAGGAGAGCCCGGTTTTTAACAATCAATTCCCACAGAAAAAGTTCAAGAAACCATGGAATATTGATATTTTATTTATTTTATTTCCTTTCATTTAAAAAAAAGGGTTAGTACTTTGGTCCTATATAATTCGCGTAGGTTTGCTTCCTACCGGTTCAAGGTGAAACACTTCGTTTCCGAACTCCTCTGACGTCCATGCCCAAATGTTCGACTCATCGGGATTTAGTACAATTAATAATTCAAAGAATTCGATCACATTAAATATTATTGACGTACGAACTCCTGATGTTACGAAAAACCCACATAACTTAAATTAATTATACTTGCAAAAAATTTTTACTAAGCAATAAATCAGCTTTACCGTATGTGAAACAGTCTTGAAATAATGGGGGTTAATAAATAAACTATAACCAGACTATATATTCCAATTTAAAAAAAAAAAAAGAAAAACGCTTTACAAACTGAAGACAAATTGTGCGCTTAATTCTTCTAACTTCGTAGGGCTATAAATACTGAGAACAACGGGCCAGGGTTTTCCTCTAGGGTTTTCCCTCTGATAGTCACCACACCCGAAGAAAAACAACGAACCGCATTTACGTATTTACTTATCAATTGTTGATTCAACCCGGCCAACGGACAAACTTCATGTTCACCAACTTTGTCGATTCATATTTTATTATATTTATTATTTGGAGATCGTGAGATGCGGTCTGGTGGGACGTAGGTTTAGAAAAACGTTTTCTTTATCTTGTCAACGTTTCGATCTTTATTGAGATCATCTTCAGGGCCTGGGATTTATAAACAATATTCAAATTATACAAATACATATAGGATGCGAAATGATGAATTTATACTACGCTAGAAATTTTAGACTCAATCAAAATCCTTCTAAATCCAACGTATATAAACATAAAACATCAACATCTCACTGGCACTCTCAACACGTCTCAAAATAATGACACATCTACACATAAAACAATTACTTTGAGCCCTGAAGATGATCTCAATAATGATTGAAACGTTGACAAAGACAATGTTTTTCTAAACCTACGTCACACCAGACGATCTCCAAATAATCATTAACTAACGGTCACTAAACATCACACTTATAATTATTTTTTAATTAATATAGATTTTACTGCTTGTATAATTTTAATTCTTTATTTGATAGAAATATATATTGTTTTAAATTTTTGAGAAATTAATTTATTTATTTAAACTACACTGAAAACTTTTTTCACTTCGTAAGATATGTGTACAGATTTTTTGTCGATCTCTCACCACAGTTTCTCATATTTTATACTTTTCTTGCCGATACAGTGTTGGAGCAGTGTTTTCAGCGAATTTTAGTTTAGTTGTGTATTTTGTTGGTGACAAGTCACCGGTACAAAGCAAAAAACAATATTGGTCCTAGGATCCTTCCCTGGGATAGATCAGAGTTAATTCCTCTGAGAGGTAGGAAGAGAGAAGCTGAAGGTACTGGATTTTTAGGATTATTTTAAGTTTATGTATTAAGTCTTCAATATTTTATGAAATGCTTGAAGTACGTTCGGCAGAAGAGATGTTTAAACCTTTTATCTTTTAAATATCATTCCATATTGTATATAGTCCAATTGGTCAATTGAACAAGTTATTTCATTGAATTAATTATTCTTTATGTAAGGTTTTGGTTGAGATAAAAAGTCAGTGTCACGAGCGGGATTCGAACCCACGATCTCGGCTAAATACGCCGCTGCTCTAATCACTTGAGCTATCGTGACTTCGATCCTCTCGGACACCTCCTCAACCTGCAACCGTTCGAATTTTCCCTCTTTTTGCCATTTTCAATTTCATTGTGTATAATTACTTTTGTAGTTTTGATCCGTGTTGGGTGTTTTGTTCTACAGCCAAATTGATGGTTCGATTCATTCATTTCTTCATAGAAAAGTACTCGGATCTTGCAATTCGCAAAAATTAAATACTAACTCATGTTTAATGATTAGGTTAGATTATATGCCGGCCACTTTATGACCTGCGCACCGTGACCAGTATTGGTCTAGTGGGCATCTCCATTTTTTTATCTAGAGCTCCTCCTTGAGCTTAAGACTTTTTACCAGACCCCAAAGCTTTTTCTAGGGCCAACATAGAACATGTTCCGCTCTTTCTTCTTCTTCTTGCCAATATCTGCACGGGCTTGTTTCTGCCACTCCGAGTCTATTCATATCCCTCCGGAGTCTGCAGTATCCACCCAGCAGTCCAACTATTGTTCTACAGATCCCCTCAGGCAACGGGTGCCTCAGTAGAGGGGGTTCGTACGAACTCCCGGGTGGGCGATCAGTTCCACCTTAAAAATAATACTGAACCATGGGAATAGAGTATCCATGCGGCTCTACTAATTGGGTTTGGACTCGTGGTGGTCGTGGTTTGCAAACAATTTGTACCTTAGCTGGTGGGTACCGGCCAAACAGAGCCATAGATAGAGTACCTTCTCAATCTATCCGGGGTGGTGAAAGGCATGGCTCAAAGGCTGTGTGTTCAAACCACAAAACTGCCTTTTTCATATGCCTTTTTTAGAGCACTTCTGAACTGGGTTAGCATTGCACCACCTCCCTGGCCAACGAATGTGACAAATCCATGCATGTAAAATCTTCCTGGTGTTTTCTTTGAGAACACTGGGCGACTGAGAAGTCCTCTCGCAGATAAGTCTGGACGTTAAAAATCTTCATGGGTCTGAATATCCATGAGTAAAGATGGGAACATCTGCCCATCCACTTGGCACACCTTTTTGGGTCTTTGAGCGTATATCGTGAATATTAATAATCTATATAATTATTAATTAAAAAAATAATAGAAAAGTGGTGGGCCTTGAACGAATAAAACATTTTTTATCATTATCAGGGCAATACAAACCGTTAATTATAACATTAAATCTAACATTTAGTTCAAATTAAAAAAATATTTATACGAAAATGTTCCAACATCCAAATGGTCAGAGTTGGTAACAGCTGAATTAAGTGTTTCTTTACGATTAATTAGTCGATTAATTCTAATTAATAGTACGATTTGTCCTAGATTTAATAGTTCTGCCGTTAGTTTCTGCGATGGTCCTTCGATAAACTTTTTCCATACCTCTGTTCCGGGCTACATTACCACTGAACGGTTATTTTTGGTTGTCTTAATCGTCAAATTGGCCAGCCACAAAAGGGTGCAGGACCGATAGTTGGCCTCATCGAACTTACCTTGGCTAATTTGTCGGCCTCTTCGTTGCCCCTATGGATGGATGTGCTGAAAGCAATAAACATAAATATAAATAAATTATATGAATAAATGTCTTAAAACAAACAGGCCGATTTGTACAAGAACAAGACTGGACTATCTGCTTGATTGGCAGTAAAAATTATAGTTTTTATACTAAATAACAGGCTAAATTAAATATTTTACGCATCTTTTCTGCTCGCATAGTTTTTTGATCACTGTAATTATTGTGATTTCTACTTTAGGTTTTTATTCAGGAGGTTGACGATGGGCAAAGAAGAAAGAAAATAAAGCATATAGTAAAGCATGAGTTTGTTAAAAAAAAAAAACTAATTGTGCCCTGGCGTCAACACTAACCTTGGGGTAAGTGCACAAATCATCTGTGGGAGCCAGGAGAGCGGATTGGACGTTGATTTTATCCTGAGACGGGAGGGGGCGGCGATTAAGGTATGTTATATAAGGCCGTCGATGATTCTGACACTGTTTCATACCAAATTTTGTGAAGGAGGTATCACAGGGGTCTGAACAATGACGCTTCAGAAGCCAACTATTTTCGCCGGCCTCCTGCTGCTCGGAGTCATAACAGTAGCCGTAGCAAAAATACGTAAGTCAAAAAGTTTTCTTCAATTCGTGTTAAACAAAACGGGAAGTTTGATATCTCTGGATCAAAACAGACTCGGGATCCGAGGTCAGACCGCGAAAGCAACAACAAGCCGGGTCATTTCCATAAATCTGTGAATATCTTTTGTCCAACTTCCTTACATTTCGCATAGAACCTCACATGTCTAATTTACAATTCGTAACACTACTATGTTCAATTATTATATCAAAAAATATTGAATTTAGTTTAAATATATTTTGTTAGATACATTGCTCCAACGTTAAGATTGTGATTTATTTAATTATCCATTGGTCATCATAACTTGCAACAAAATTCTGACAGATTTCAAAATCAATGATGTCCAAAGCAGGTTTGTTGGGGATTTAGCAAATAAAATTTATTAAAATCGAATTGAGCTTCATTTATTCTGTCCAATCTCTTCTAATGGTTTTATTATTTTCCTGGATATTTTTTTTTTTTTTTAATTGATGAACACAATTTTTCCCAAGGATATAGTATCTAGGTCAAGAATGGCAATCCTAGGCAGAAAAATCTTTTCCTAGAGATTGCACGGCTGTTTCAATCTCCTTTAGACATTGTCGACATTGGTCATTATTACATTTTTCTTTTCTCTCTCTGTCACCCCCTTTCTCTCTCCTCACACTCTCTCTTTCTTTCGCTCTCTGTCTCTCTCTCTCGCTCATTCTCAACTCGGCAAAACTTTTCGTAGCTATGGCAGAGCAGTTGTAATCTCCTCTAGACATTGTCGACATTGATCATTATTACTTCTCTCTTTTCTCTCTCCTTCTCCTCTCCTCACTCTCTTTTTTCTCTCACTCTCTCTCGCTCACTCTCCCCTCAGCAACATGCAAGAGCAGTTGCAATCTCCTCTAGGCATTGTCGACACTGAGCATTATTACTTCTCTCTTTGCTCTCTCTCTCTCTCTCTCTCTCTCTCTCTCTCTCTCTCTCTCTCTCTCTCTCGCTCTCTCTCTTTCTTTCTCTCTCTTCATCAAGCTCTTAGACATCTCTCTCTTTCTCCTTACAATAATTATTACTAAGTTTTCAAGGAAGAGATAATTGTGATTTTAATCCTGTGGTGTTAGCCGGAAGACAGCACAAAGGACTAATATGCAGTTCACTTATTAAATTAAAGTCTCTCTCTTTATCACACACTCTCTCTCCCTCTCACCGTCTCTCCCTCATTCACTCTTTCTCTCTTTTTATCTCTAAAATAGTAATACTAAGATTGCTACCAAGAGATAATTTTTACAAAAAAACCCTTTCATGTTAACAGGAAACCAGCACAAAGTACTAACAAGTAGTTTACTTATTAAATAAAAGACTCTCTTTCTCTCTTTCTCTTTTTCTCTTTTTCTCTATTTCTCTCTCTCTCTCTCTCTCTCTCTCTCTCTCTCTCTCTCTCTCTCTCTCTCTCTCTCTCTCTCTCCCCCTCTTACTCACTCACTCAACTTCTATTACGCTCTTTTGAATAGACGTCAACACTTTACTTGTTTATCCTCGGTGTAAAATTGGATTAATAATGCTCTATTGTTCAAATTCTGATTCGCAGTTGTATTTGAAATATTTAACCTTTCGAGTTACTTCAACCGTTCAAAACTTTATTGCATAAAGCCCAACGTATCTTATAAAACGTTAATCCTACTATAAATTAATTGCATCATTGGAACGAGCGTTGAAAACCCTCGAGACTCATTTTTCTTATTGCAAACAAAATACAAAATCACTTCAAAAATAAACATTTACGTGCTACCGAAGTTCTTGTCTAAAGTTTAAGGAAGATTAGCTTGGTTCTGTAATTACTGACAGATAGTGTGCTCACAGAAATGCTGCTTCTACAGATGAATTGCAAATAAATCTACTTAATTTTTCAAAATTCGGTTATCATGTATGTAAAAATAGATTTTAATTGCTATAATAATAATTTAAATTAATTTTTAATCTTGGTTCACATGCTACAAAAAAATTAGTTATTTTTCACTATTATTTTGAAAATTCTGTTCAAATAATGAAAATGATAAAGGTTAAACAAAAAAAGACTCAATGGTACAATGTTGAACAAAAGAAATTAACAAAAACTTCAAAATGTTGAATTAATTATTACGAATTTTCACCTTCTTAAAGAAATCAAATCTGACACCGTTTCCTGACATATTTTGGCAGCATTATTTTGTATTTTGTTTGAGTAAGATTATAATTCAAAAAGGAATTGAATAGGGGTTTTAATGCTATTTCCATTAATGCAATCAAATTTACAGTGAAATTAAGATTTTTAAAAACATGGGGGCTTTGTGAAACACAAGTTTTGATAGGTTCAAGTAGTCCGAAAAGTGAAATATCTCCAATATTTTTGAGAATAGAGACTTTTTAGCGCGATTTGTCATATATGGATAAGCCCCTAAAGTATTAACTTTTATGTGTGTGTCTTTTTCAATTTTTCTTTCTTTTTGGGATCGTGTCTATTTGCCGTCTTTGAGCTTAAATTTTTATCTATTGTGTCGCATATCAATAACGATTTTCTTGGAAAATTTTCTTGTCTGTGAAGAACACAATTATTTTCAGGGTTATGGTATTCAGGTCTATATTGAGTTTGCTTTCCTAGGCTACATAGCATTTGCCCAACTATTGCAGGTCAGTTGCACGATATTACGATATCCTTTAATTTCTCTTTCTCGACTAGACATTTTTTATGACATTTTTCTGAAGCACTTCTAAAAAATATTCCATAAGATTGTTTGTACGATTGGTCTTTTTACTGCCTCATGCCTGGCATAGGTTCCCATTATTTATTGTATACTTTAGATTCCAAGATTCGAGTTCGGTATGATGTCTCCAGCCTGCTTGCCTGAATTTCCCTGATGAACCTGGACCCACCGTGACTCACGTGATGCAATTTGTGGATGCCAAATATTTTCAGCGGATCCAGACCTCTGTCGTCTCGTCTCCACTATATAAGGTGGCCCCAATCGATTCAGTCACACTTTCAGATCTTATAGGAAATTGAACGCTGAGTAAAAAAGGTCCTATGAACCTGTGTTTTTACTCATTTTTGCGTCGAATGACATTATAACCAGCCTGATCACAATTTCATTTTTGGCGATTTTTCGAAGTTAGGAGGTGAAGGGGTACACAAAATTCACCATTTCAGACATTTTTATCGAAAATTCACAACTTGAACACCCTATAAAAAAAATTCTCCGTTACAAACCCCGTTTGTTGGTGATCGAATTCTCCGTCACATTAGACCAACCCCAGTCCGATTCATGAAACATTCGAATTTTGGCTAATTTACTGCTTTTTACCCAAATCGAATGTTACTGTTTTCTGATGGGTACCCCCTACTGAATGAAATAATGTACAAACGGCTTACCCATCAGAAATTGTTTTTGATAGGATGTTCAAGTTGTGAATTTTCGATAAAAATGTCTGAAATGGTGAATTTTGTGTACCCCTTCACCTCCTAAATTCGAAAAATCACCAAAAATGAATTTTTCGGCCAATCAGGTTGATTTTTATGTCATTCGACGCAGAAATTAATCCTCTACAGATGTTGTTTCGAGCTGTTTTACGGCCAGGATAACGGTTTACTAACAATTTCACGAATAAAGACAAAAAACGTGGTTTTTCACGGTTTTTTGCCTGTAGCTCCGAACTGAAGGGTTTGCGGACACAGATTCATAGGACCTTTTTTACTCAGCGTATAATTTCCTATAAGATCTGGAAATGTGGCTGAATCGATTGGGGCCACCCTGTATATAGTCGACATTGGTCATCAGTTAATATTGTAATTTTTTAAAATCCTATTTTAATTGTTCCTTTTACAATAAAGTGGTTTGAACTCTTTTCCCTTGATTAGAATTATTCTACCATTGGGGTATTTGTAGTGCTATTAAGTAACCAAAGGTTCCAAATTTTTTTTATGTAGCTGGAACTTAAGCCTGAAATGGAATTTTCGGTCTGTGTTTTTCCAAGGCACCCTTTTTATTCAATATGTCGACCTCTTTACTTGATATTTGCTCATGACCTACTTGCCTTGGCAGTTTGTAAATCCAGTTTTTAATGGTAATCAGGCAGTTTGAGACAAGTTTTAAAGTTGATTTCGAAGGCTTGAAGATGCTCTAGATCTGCCTGGCTATCTGACAGAATTGTTATTGCAGCAACATTGAGATGTTTATTTATTATGTTATGTTATGTGCAAATGTTGCTACGCCTAGAAAGAAGGTTATGGTGTACCACTGTGCATCTGACTAGTTTTTCCGTACATAAATATGCAAACCTATTATTTCTGTATAAAAAAACGTATCTCATTTATTTATGCATTTCATCTTTCGAACAAACAAAAATTATGAGATGTCGCGATAAAGATAACGACCGCACATTAACTAATTCCGGTCAGTGAAATCACCGATGTCGTTCGTGATATCGTTGACGACGCACGAACATCCAAACCATGATAAAACATTTGGAAAACTGTGAAGAAACTTTTTATTGTCTTCGTTATTATTATTCTTGATCTTTAAAAATTTAATTGATATCAGAAAAACTTCACTTATTATGACTGATTACATTACGTCTGTACATACACAGGCGAAGTTAGGCTACGAGGGTTCTCAAAAGGTCAATTTAGCCTCTAACGGATTAAGTTTTTCAACCTAAACCCACTCACTCCTAAATAAATTCTTTGATATTTACATAAAATTCCGTCAAATATGTTGGTGGAGTACACGATATTCTGTCATTCACCTGCTGTAGATACTGTGTAACTAAGTTATATCTCACAATAGATATTCACGCTAATAACTACATAAAAATTTTATATACCAGAAAGGAACCCAAAATGGGATATTCTACCAAGTACTATGTGTATTAAAGCAGACCTTTTCCTCCGAAAATCAAAAATGGTAAGCAAATATTCGCTGCCCTGCTGAAGCATATCATATCAGGTGGCATTTAACACCCTCATATATGAAATCCCTCCACTA